TAACACAGAGTAAGAGGTAGTTCTTATCTGAACTAAACTATTTGTATCCCTAAGAAATGATGCTCTGGAACTCCATTCCCCAGTCTATGCATGCACTTTGGGCAGGTCTTTCTGTTTATAATAAAGCGCTGTGGGTGGATATTTATATAGTGAGATTTAAAAGGTCCTCAAGTTCTCTGTCTCTTCTTTGTATCAGCTCTTACCTTGGGTACCATAATGGTTAAAATTCAACCATTAGGGCAACTTGTTCCTAGGTTAATCATAGCTATTTACTTTAGTCTGTCTTCCTCTGTTCTAGTAACATCCATTTGGCTTTCCTTCAGGCAGTGCTCCCCACAACTCTGTACTGCCTGTTCGAATGGAGTTAACTCCATCCTAGGTGCCATAAGTGGAAGTCTTATCAGCCTTTTCTGTCCCCTGGGCACATAATTTGTCCAAGGAGGGGGCTCATATCCCAAGATTTTTTTTTAAGTACTGGGGAATTGAACCCAGGGATGCTTTACCACTGAGCTACAGCTCTAACCCTTTTTATTTTGTATTTTGAGACAAGCTTTCAGTAAGTTGCTGAGGCAGGCCTTGAACTTGCAATCCTCCTGCCTCGATCTCTCAAGTCACTGGAAATACAGGCATGTGCCACTGCACCTGGCTCCAAGTCCTTTTAATGAGAACCACTCCAGGAACTTTGGTAGAGCTGATAGAAAGTACTCTTTCGTTGGAGCTGCAGGTGTCTGTGTAGCCACTTGGAGAAAAATGAATCCTGATGGTATTATCTGAGCATTTATACTTAGCCATGCCTAAAAAGTAAGTTTGGACTTCTCAAGCTGTGAACTGGTATTTTTGTTTGCACAAGTGAGAGTGTTAGATTTCTGTCACTTGTATGGAAAAGCAGCCAGAGCTCTCTGCCATCACCCACTACCCAGGGGAGGAAGAGCAACCTATTGTCCTCTTATCAGCCATTAAGGTGGAAGAGGGCAGCTACTGGATGGGAATTTTTATGGACAAAAAAGAATGCCAGGCTGGATGCAGTGGCTCACACCTATAACCCTAGTGGCTTGGGAGGTTGATGCAGGAGGATTGCAAGTTTGAGGCCAGCCTCAGCAATTTAGCGAGGCCCTAAGCATCTTAGTGAGACTGTCTCAAAATACAAAATAAATACACTTGGGGATGTAACTCAATGTTTGAGTGTCCTGAGTTCAATCCCTAGTACAAAAAAAAAAAAAAAGATTGTCAGGATGGGATGAGCTATCAGGTATAGACAGTGGGCTTGTGTGGTAGGTAACCTAAGGCAAGAGAACATAAATGAGGGACTAGAAGGGGAAGTGAGAAGGTAAGTGAGCAGATCGACTTGCACTGCCCTGTTTGGATGTGTCAGGTAGCTTCAGAATTCCAGAGCTGTCACATATTAGCATGCAGAGGGAGCTCAGTTTTATAGAGGAGGAGATGGAAGGGTCGAGACACTTGCCCATGACCCTGCAGCTTCTTTGGGGAGAACTGCAGAGACAGATGTATCAATATTAGAACTGAATCATACAGTTGATAAATATGATTCTGGAATTAGATCTGGGTTGAATCCCGATGTGCCATAAATAGCCAGTTGCCCCTAGGTTTTACTTAACTTCTCTGAGTCTCAGTTTCATCATCAGTAAAATGGGGCTAATAATGCCTAATCTCTAAAGGTCTTTGGAGAGCTTTAAAAAGATTTTTCTTTTAAAGAGCTTAGCTTAGTGCCTGGCTACTGCCAGAACAAGAGAGAAAACCAGGTGACTAAGAATTCACCTCCTAGAGGAGGGTGCCTCTGATAGGAGACATCTCTTGTCTAAAGCACAAGTTTCAGGGTTCTGGTTAACAGAGGAAGGCAATGGAAGGAAGGGGACCTAGTCTAGTGGAGTGGGGTAAGGGATGGGCGAGGTAAGCTCATGGAAGGGAGAAACCTTGGAGCTGGGTGAGGGGTGTGGAAGGGAGGGTAGGATGAGAGGCATTGGATAATCTGTCATCCCTAATATAAACTACGAGTTGGAGGGAGGGATGGACACTCTGGGGGCCATGGCAGGAGGCAGGAGCTGACTTGCCAAGAAACAAGGAGAGAGCGGAATGTGTTGTTTCTCGTGTGCAATGAGTGTTGCCCCAGCCTCTCCCAGACTTCACTGGCAGCCCCGTGCAGTCAGGGACCGCAAGCTGCCCTGCAGCCAGCCAGCCTGGGGGGCAGGTTCTGAAACCACAGCCCCCACACCCCTCCCTGTCCCCTCCCTCCTGCTGTCCCAACCTAAACAAGACAACCTGGGCAGGGGGGCCACACGCTGATGGAAAAATACACACTTGGCTGGAAAAGGAGCTTTATTTGTATGTGTTGAATTCCCGCAGCAGCCGAAGGATAAATAGCTGGTCCCAGCCTCAGCTTCGACTCTGCCCACAAGGTGGGTGGTAAAATCTGTTCTTATTTAGATAGCTTGTGGGGAGAGGTGAAGAGGGGGACTGGGGCAGCAGGAGAAGGGAACTTGGAATCTGCAGTGTTTATATGATCAGTCATGGATGTCATCTCTCCTCTTTAATTAGGGGTTTCGAGTTGAGAAACTTTGCTCAGCTTGCTTGTCCTAGGAACGGAGTAAACTGGCAGATAGGCAGGGGGCAGAGCAGCTTCTGGGGCCCACCGATGGTTGACTGCTGTCTCCATTCCCCAGTCCTCAGCCAAGTACCCAACAAATGTTGAGCACTGTGCCAGGTCATGTTCTGGGTGTTTTACACGCATCATCTCAGTCGATCCTCACAATGATCTCATGGGTTAAGGACCATCATGATCTGCTTTACAGAGGCAAAAACCAAACCCAGAAAGATTGAGCAGAGCACTAAGGTAGTACAAGTGGGAAGCAGTACCACCAGGGCTGGAACCAGGTCTTCTTGACTCAAGTTCTGGCTTTTAGCCATTTCTCATCTTGGGCTGGGGGTAGGATCTGGGCTTTTCTAGTTCTCAGGCCCATCACTTCTGATCTCTAACCCAAGTCCTCTGCACTTGTTAAGGCAGAGAGAGCAGGATGACTGGCTTCTAGTAACTTTCATCTCTGGTATTTCTTGTGATTAGAGAATAGTCCCCTGTAGCCACTATATCCTCAGCACCTGGGGTCAAGACAGTAGACACACATTTTTCAGATAGGTTCCAGTGCTATGAGGAAAATTAATCAGGGTAATGGGCTATGAGCCAGAGAGTACCTGAGGCTCTAGGGCATCTGTAGATGACATGAGGCCTTTCTGCTACAGCTACATTTGAAATGGTCAGTCGAGATTATCCTGAGGAATGTAGAAGGCAGAGGAAATGGCATATGCGAGAGAAGTGAAGCACGAATGTTTGAGATTGAAAGTGGACCAGTGTGGCTGGAGTGTGGTGTAGGAGTAGAGATCAAGCAAGTAAGGGCCAGATCATGAAGGGTCTCACTGGTAGGGAAGTATACTAGATTTTTGTTCTCATTGAAAAAGGAACTCACTTGGAGGGGTCGTTCAAGGACGGAAGCCAAATCTGACCTCCATTGTCAAGAGATTATTCCTGCTGCTATGAGAAACAGGGACTCTCAAGGATCAAGGGTGGTGGCAAGGAAACAAGATAGAAGGCTGTGGCTAAGATGCAGGTGAGAGATGATGAGTTGAGCTTGAATCAGTATTAGAAGTGGAGGTGGGGAAAAGTAGCTTATAGAGCTGAACAGACTGGGTGACAGATTAGAGTGTAGGAGGTTTTTTGGTTTATTAGAGGTGATGTTTTCCTACAATGGGTTCCCTAAGTCCAACTCTCATTTCACATGTGTTAAACCCAGACCAATCAGCGCAAGGCGTTTCCCTGGCTACAGTGATTGCTTCCAGGGTGGTCCAATAATAGACTTTTGTTCCACAGAAAGCAGAGGCCTCTGGTCTGATAGATGTTAAGAAGAAAGTGTCACTGAGGCTAGCAGGTTGTTACCTAGGAGGGGAAGAAACTTTAGGAAAAAGCAGCCTGAGAGAAAGCTATAGTGTGGACGGAGGATGCACAGAAACCAAGATCTTGATATTGCTGAATTTCTGAACCCACCAATCCAGATGTTTGCTCTACCCCTTCTATTCAGTAAGGTGATAGATTTCCTTTATTACCAGTCAAGGTCAGATTTTACTCACTACTGAAAGCATCCTAACTGATACATTAATGGTATCTAGGAACCCCAAACTTAACTTAATGAGTACAGAAGACAAACCCAGAATAAAATTAACTCCTGGACTTTAAAATGAACACAGTAACTGTCTTTGAGTAGTGAGTTGGAGAATTCTATAAGGTCTAGAGATACAGCTCAGTGGTAGTGTTTGCCGAACACATGTAGGGCCCTGGGTTTGATTCTAGCATGAAGAAAAAAGAAAAAAAAAAGATAAGTATATAAAATCACAAGTAGGGGATTCAAGTGCAGCACCTAATTGTTCAGAGTAATACTTTGCCATGAAATGATGCTAGGGAGTGAAAGGGATTAATAATCCCTGTTTAAATTTGTATGATTATTTGAACAATCCCATGTCTGACCTCCTTGCCTTTACGTTCTCAAACATAAACATAATACTTGGCACACAGTAGGTGTACCTTAAATATTTGCTGACAGGAACAGCTATACTGATCACAAAAAGTGAAAGCTGCAAAAAGATGAAACATTAACAAAAGGGCACACTGCCTTATTCCCAGTTTTGAGGACTCTGAAAAGTCCTCAAAAAGGACTTCTGAGAGCCTAGAGGTAACTGAATTATTTCTAACAGCTACTTTGCCTCTATATTAAACATTCAGTGTCCCTAGTGATGGTGGTAAGTTGACAATAGAAAGGACAGATATTTTAACATTCTGATTATACAGCACCCTGGCCAGTCCACTCTCAAATACCCATGAAGGATAAACACATACTCAACATTAGATGATTATTTATTTTTCAGGTTTAAAAGGTTTCAAAATACATATGTGCAAGATAAATAAAACAAACAGAGAATCACTCGAGAGCAGAACACATAAATATACAGGGTCTTTTATAGGATACAAAAATTACAATGTCATCAAATACCAAGAAAAACATTTAGGAAAGGTAAGCAAATTAGACCATCTCGTCAAAGAATACATTAACTAAGATGGACCAGGACAAACTCCCTGAACATCAGGGCAAAATTTCTTTTCTGTGCCTACTAGCTGCCTGGCCTTCCTTTTTTGTGTTGAGTTGTGGGCTTCAGACTCATTGCCCTCTGCTGAATTATCAAGCATCTCTTCCTCAGTGGCCTAAAAAGGAGAGGTAAGGTGAAATACAACAAAGTTCACACAAATGCCAAAGAAAAACAGTGAAGCTCTGTAGTATTATTTCCAGGTATTTTGTTACAAGTTTTATATATTGCATGGTGTATATGGTATTTTCTCTGAAAGCATCTTCCTAAAATTTTTGTATGTTTTAATTATTTCCTTTAACAAATAACACATAACTGCTACTCTACTCAATTTCAAGTATCTTGTAACTCAGCAAAACCAGGATGTGCTAATCTCTATAATCTTGTAATTTGTATTTTGTTAAATGAGGAAACTTTATCAACTCAAATTAGAAAAGTTTTTCCTTTTCCTTTCTTCTGTGAATGGTCCCATAAGAAATATAAAAATTTCCCCTTCAACCTAAAACCCTCCCTATTTCTGCAACTAGTTTCTATAAATATAGTCCTTTCTCAGTATTTTTTTTTTTAAATATTTCTTTATTTATTTACTTAGTTACTTAGTTAGTCTTCGGCGGACACAACATCTTTGTTGGTATGTGGTGCTGAGGATCGAACCCGGGCCGCATGCATGCCAAGCCAGCGCGCTACCGCTTGAGCCATATCCCCAGCCCCTTTCTCAGTATTAAAAGAGATAACTCAGAAAAAAAAAAAAAAACCTTCAAGTCACCTCCCTTTCTATTCCTGCTACCCTCTAGAATACAAAAAAATAATATATATATTAACTAGAAGCTGCCTGCCCTCTAGTGTTGCCAGCAGATGACAACTATTAGGAAAAATCTACTGCTGGTTAGCTACCAGGCTGTTTTGTTAAATAGTTATTAGATGGTTGCAATAGGAGAAAAAGATCACCTAGCTACAGTATAAATTTGGCAAATCTAATAAACATTATTTTTATACATATATATATATATACATTTAACAAACTGATAATAATAGCAAATATCATACCTTTTGTTTTGGTCTTGCATGCTTCTCTGTCCACTCCCTGGCATTCTTGAGGAAGACTGGCTTATTATATTTAAATTCTGAGGACTGAGACAAAAGAATTCATGGAGGAAAAAGAAGAAAAAAAAAAAAGATTTGGCATAGTATGCATCACTAGAGTTATGAGTAGGCTATGTGCTGCTGAGGAAATGGGGTACTTACGATGTCAGCCATCAGTGGGTCGTCAGGGTTGGGTTCTGACATGAGCAGCTGAATAGAGGTCAACACAGTTGCAATGTTGAGTGATGGTCTCCAGGCACCCTGTACACAGATAAGCACTTGCTTTTATATTAGAATGTGACATTGTAATTCAAGTTTTATTCAGTTAATCTTTATACACCACTCACTTTTGGTGGCAGTTTGAGAACATCTAGACAAATCCTTCCAGCAGAATCAATGTTTGGATGATAGATTGGAGTCAAAAATCGGATCTGCGGAGGTTCAAATGGGTACCTTTGAATGTATAGAACAGGAAATCATTATTTTACTATGGCTTTTATTATGTTTTAAGTACCTCCCTGGTCACTAATAGATAAAAGGTAATGCTGATATTAGAAAAATGTCAAGAAGGCAGCATTTGAAATGAGGCAAACCTTTTCTCTTCCCAAATTTTTATTATAAAAATTTAAGAATAGTCAAAAGTTGAAATAATAGTATCGGAAACATTCATAAACGCACCACCTGAAATCAAGCCACTTCACCTTTTTTTAGCACTAGGGATTGAACCTGGGGCCTTGCACATGCTATATGATCACTCTACCACTGAACTACATTCCCAGCTCTATTTTATCTTCTCAATATTTCAGCATGTATCTGTTAAGAATAAGGATATTCTCCTATAGAACTCTAACACCATTACACCTACAAAACTTTTAAAAAATAATTCCATAATATCTCTTCCTATTCAGATTTCCTTAACTGTCCCATTTTTTTTTTTTATAGCTAGCTTTTTCAAAATGGGATCTAATTAAGACTTATATGTTGCATTTGGTATTATGTCTCTTTAGTGAGAAACAAATCTTGGAAAGTTCCCAGTCTATTTTCAGAACTAATGTATGATGATTCTTAAGCTATTCTCTCAGGCTTTATCAAATTTGGCCAGGATGACCTTTTAAATGTCTACATTTAAATAGATAGGTATTCATTTCATCCTTCCTCATTCTGCACAAAAGTACAACTGTAACTTAACTGATCAGAGTCTTAAAGAAGACTTTAACTAAGAAGGACCTTAATATTTAGATGGAAAGTTGAATAGTGGTTGCCAGGAACTGGGGGCAGGGGAGACAGGGAGTTATATAGTTTGGGAAGATAAAAAAGTTCTATAGATAGATTTAGTGATGGTTGCACAACAATGTGAATATTTAAAAAATGGTTAAAATGGCTGGATGTGGTGGCCCATGCCTGTAATCTCAGTGATTTGGGAGCCTGAGGTAGGAGGATCTGAAGTTCTAGGCCAGCCTCTGCAATTTTGTGAGGCCCTAAGCAACTTAGCAAGACCCTGTCTCAAATAAATAAAAAGGGTTGAGGATGTAGCTCAGTGGTCAAGTACCCGTGGTTTTAATCCAGGGACACTTTACTTTTTTTTGTACAAAACAACAACAACAAAAAGATGGTTAAAATGATCAATTTTATGTTATGCATATTTCAGCATGGTTTAAAGGTTCAGAGGTGGGATGAAGGAAGGCTCAGTTGTGATTTAGTCCATTCTTTTAGACAAGGAAATTGAATTCCAGAGAGATAAAAACAAAACAAACAAGCAAAAAAACTTAATTGTATTAAGTCATGACAAGACTAGAATTAAAACCCAGGTGCTTTGGGTTGCGGGTGTAGCTTACTGGTGGAATGCTTGCCTAGCATGTGCACAGCTATGGATTTGATCCCAGCACCGACAGAAAACAAACACCAAAAAACCCCAAAGAAAATCAGGTGCTTTACTCCTACGTTTAATACTCTATATACTATATTGTTTCATCTTCCAGTAACTTTTACTTTATAGGTTAAGAACTGAACTTGCACTAACCTCTCAGGAACGAGGATTTCCAGCTTGAAAACACCTTTCTCATAAGGTGTATTGGCTCCACCTAATATTTCTTTAAAGAAAAGGTAAAAAGGGAATCAGATGATTTGAATTATCATTCCATATGGACTTAATAAGGGTATGGTCCTAACAGAAAAACTAGGTCCAGGACAATAATTCTTTCTCAGGGCTTTAGTCTTTTGCAATGCATCATAATTTTGATGTACCCCAAAAGCTGATGGTCTCAAAGGACAAAGAGAAGATCTAAAACAGAAGTTGTAAATGCTGGCTACCAGACCAAATACAACCTACAGATTTGTTTTGTTTGGACAGCAATATTTTAATCACTTATGTTTCCCGTCTGGCCTCCTAGAATATTTGAAATGGCCAGCTTTGGTCTAAATACTGCTTTAGAGCTGATGCCAAAATTCTGATTTTAAATCAGCAAAAGGTATAATAAAAACTCAAAGAATCCAGAAATTCCAAGCAAAACTTTTAGGACAATAAACAAATGAGTATAAAAAGATGGGAGGGTACTTGGACCTTATAACTTTTCCCTACTTCAGAACACACAAATGTTTGATTTCAGCACAATTTTCAAATGGGGCCATGACCCTCATGATAGGCATGATGGGATACCCACGAGCTCGCAGGTTGTCCGTCTGGTCCTTTTCTTGCCAGCATGTGATGCCTGGGGGTGGCTCTGTAGATAACATGTGCAGCTCTTTTTTCAGTCGGGATGCTCTTTGCATGATCCCAAGTAAAAGGAACCACACAGCTCACCGCTCCACAAAACAATCTGGTTGGGATGTGCTGAGGGAGGAAAAAGAGCAACCATGAAATAGTTAGCAGAGGTGACTGGAACTTTCAGCACATACTTTCAGTTTAGTGAAGGCCGGATTCCTCTTAATCTCTATTCTGACAAGGGAGTCTGTGAGTTTTTTCTACTTCCTTCTTGTGAACATTTCATCTACTCAAGCAAATAAATTTTTAAAATAAACAGGAGGTCAAAGTAGGATTACAAGTTTGAGGGCCGCTTCAGCAACTTAGCAAGACCTTGTCTTACAATACAAAGGACTGGGGGTGTAGCTCAGTGGTAAAATGCCTCTGGATTCAATCCCCCGTATAAAACAAAACACCCAAACAAATGAAAAAACTACTAAAGGTTTTAAATTAATGTCCGCTTCCTCTAATAACTATAAACTCATGAGGCCAGGCAGGGCCTGGACAAATACTTGCAGCGTGAGGAAGCCTATCTAAGCTCTGTGAGAGCAAGAATGAATGTCAATCCTCAGACACAAGCTGCTGCCTGAAGTTCTCTCCATGTGGATTCCACATCTTCCCAGTTCTTCAGGAAACCTACCCCATCAATTAGTCCACCTTTCCCTAGTACTGCCAATCTTTCCCTCTTAGTCCTAACATTCAAATAAGTCCAAAGTCTTTCTCATCTAAAACGAATCCCACAACACATCCATTCACTCTCTTCCTCTAGTTCTCCCTCTGGTGACCGACCAGTCACAGGATGGTAATAATTTGATAGGTATTACAAGTATCTCCTAGTTATGGTTTATCTTTCCACTTTAAGGTGCCCTTTGATCAAAACACTTAAATCAATTTAAAATCATTTCCATACCAAATTTAAAGATATTTTCCAACACATTCCTCAAATCTTGTTATAATTTCACTTTTCACACTTCAATTTTTTTAATTCACTAGGAATTGGTATTTTTATATTGTGAGAGGTAGGAGTCCAATTTAAAAATATTCACCAAATAAATATATAACCAATTGTCCTAGCACCATCTACTGGAAAAGCCCATTCTTCTCCCTGATATTACCATAAATTAAATTTCTGTCTACAAGTGGATCTATTTTGGGACTCTTGCTTGAATTTGTTGCATTGGTTAAGTAGATTATTTTTGGGCTAATATTCCAGTGTTTCAATTACTACAGCTTATTTTCATTATTTACTTAAATTGTTTCCAGCTTTATTGAGGTATAATTGGCCAATACGATTTGTGTATGTTTAGGGTGTATAACATGATGTTCATAACATGATGTTTTACTATAATTTATATACCCTGTGCTTTTTATTTAGGAATGTTTTAATTACTCATGGATCTTTATAAACTGTTAAAAAAAGCAAATTATAAAAAATTTTATAATTTTTATGTAAAGTCTTATTTGATGTTAGATATATTCCTAAGCATTTTATTTTTTATCTTTTCAAAAAAAATATTTTCTACCTATTTCTTGCTAGTATATGTAAATATAATTGATTTTTTAACTGAAACCTTAATAATGTTAATATTAAATCCACTTAGGAGTGACGGGGTTTGGGTAATTCTAACAGCCAATCACATCATCCACATATAATCAGTTTCTCTCTCCCCTTCTACCCTTCTCCTGTCTTCTCTTCTGACAGTAACTTCCAGCACAACCTAGAATAGAAGAGCTGATAGCTGTTATTCTTGCCTGATTTCTAACCTTCAAGGCAAAGCTTTTGACTCTGCTTATTTCTATCCTACTTTCTTAGTTTTTCCAACTTAGGTTATGCTTAATTTTTCATCTCTCTTATTTCAAATGTAAACACATTGCCTTCTAATTGTCATTGAATACCAAAATTTTGATCTGTAGAATATTCTCCCATTCTCAATATTCTCTACTTTCCCTTACAATTTCCTCTTTAATTTAGAAATGGGTTTAATTTTCAAATGTGGGGGTTTCCTAGTTACATGTTATTGATTTCTAATGTGTGGTTTATATATATATCCTTTGAATTCGATGAGTCTTACTTTATTGTCAAATATGTAGTCACTATTCACAAATGTCCTGTGTATGCTTAAAAATACCTACACACCAAAGTTATTTGAGGAAATCGTCTATTTATGCCATTAGATAAGCTTAACTGTGTTTTTGTTTTTTATGTCTGTACTGATTTTTTTCTCTTGTGATCTATCAATTATTGAGACTGATGTTTAACTGATAAAGCATTAAGATGGTAAATGTAATTTCTCCTGGTAGTTTTGTCAAATTTTGCCTTAAATATTTAGGTTAGGCTATCAGAGACATACAAGTTTAAAACTGTTACATATTTATAGCAAATTGTAGTTTTTATCATTTTTAGAGAATGTTCTCTTCTCTAGTAATGATTTATCCTTAAAGTATCTTTCATATTAAAGCTATCTCAGCTTTCTTCTAGATGATATTTGCCTGAGACACCATTTCCTATTGTTTCATTTTCTATTTTTCTGTATCTTTAGGCTTATGATGTGCCTTTTGTATATATCTGAAATTATAAGGTTTTTTTTTTCTTCTTTTAGATTTTCTCTATTGTCTTGAAAATTTTTGGTCTACTTTTAAAAATCATCACATAGATTTGAACATACACAGTTAACTTATCAAAGTCTAAAGTTGAAAAGCTAGAGGTTAGAGCCTAGAGTGTTTCTTGCTGCAGGGCTCAATCTGTTCTTGGTCTTTCTGGAAACCCTGTTCTCTCCTTCCCTGGCATCCTTGCTCTGCAATGCCCTGCTTTAAAAACACACATACCATCTCCTCCAGTAAGCAGTCACGGCCTACCAAGAAGGGCGGCTTGAGGCCCGGATGTGACAAGGGGGCCACGAGGGCTGTGCACCAGGATCTACACAGTGCTTATGATTATCCAGTACACTACGGAGAAGGCCTTTGTGAAAAGACATTCAGATAGTTCTTCCTTCTGGGTTTTACAGAAGAGTAGTTCCACCTCTGGCTTGGCTGCAAATATTTCGTAGATGTAGAAGCTGGTGTTACAGACGATGTCTATAGAAGAGAAACTAATGCTGTATCTTTTAATTTTGACAAAGAAAAGTATCAAGTCAAAAGGATGATCGAATTGCATAGCCCATTTGTGAACAGATTTTTGGTATCCAGAAATAGTTCAAGTTGTGGATAACACGGAAAGGGGTTCAGGAAGTTTGGTTCCCTTGCAAAGAATGAAAATTTATGCCAAGAACAAAAAGTTGTGGCTCAGTGGTAGAGTGCTTGCCTAGCACGTGTGAGGCACTGGGTTCAATCCTCAGCACCACATAAAAATAAATAAATAAAATAAAGGTATTGTGTCCATCTACAACTAAAAATATAGCTGGTTCTTAAAAAAAAACAGAAAGAGAGAAAATGAAAAACAGAACTTTTCCCTTAAGTATAAAGATTTCTTTTTTTCTGAATGTATTTTGCACTTCTGAAAACTTAATAGCTTTAACTTCTAAAAATATATGATTTTCTTAGGATGAAGGAAAGAGTACCTTTATTAGGATCACATAGAAAGTTACTTTCTTGTTTTTCTGCAACTTAAGATTGTTTGTAAGTCTGCCTTGTGGTACGCTACAACAGTTTCTTTTTTATATAAAATGTACATCAAGTACAAAACACACACACACTCACATACACACCTGAATTACTGAATCCAGTAGAAGTAACCTCCTCAGCAACTTTAAATTAAAAGTATATCATTTACTAGTACCAACTCTTCTCCAAGCAATACAAGGATCTTGGAATAAATGAACTCTCCACTCATACTAGTTTGTATTTTAATTCTTTTTTTTTTTTTTTTTAAACCCAATGAGACAGTCAAAAGTCTGAAGAAAACTATTGGGTGAAGAACTTCTAAGTAAGATATTCAAGAGAGAGAAATACAAAGAAAACCACTCTATGCATGTCATAATTAAATTGTTAAAAAAAGCAAAGATAAAAAAGAAAATGTTCGCTGGAAGGAATGGATAGAAGGGATTATAATAATAATCTGCAATCCCAGCTATTCAAGGAGTCTGAGGCATGAGGCTCATTTGAGACCAGCCTGAGTAATACAGTGAGAATGTATTGCAAAAAGAATAGTCTTAGAGCAGTCAGAGGAAAAAAGACATGACCTAGATGAATAGTGATAAGAATAAGGATTTTAAAACAGTTATATTACAAATTAAAATTTTTTAAAAAGTTATATTAATATATTCCATATCTTCAAGAAATAGAGCAGGCATGCTCAGGAGAAACATGGAAGAAAAAGACCCAAACTTCTAGACAACAAACAAGGAAAAAGAACTGTCAAAAATTGAACAGGGTATTTGGAAACCATAAGACAACATCAAATAACCTAATTCACATTCCAATGGAGTCCCAGAAAGAGGATGGAGGATAGATATTTGAAGAAATAATAGCCAAGAAATTCACAAACTTGACTGAAAGTATAAACTTGCAGATTCAAGATGCTCAAAGAATTACTAAGAAGCACAAAGAAAACAAAACACATTCTAACCAAATTGCAACAACAAGAACAAAATAGTGATAAAAAGAAAATGTAAAAGCAGTATGAGGAAAGAAGACATTTTATGTTCAAAGGAACAAAAATACAAAGGCAACAGATGCCTCAGAAACAATGCATGCCAGAAGACAGTGGAGCAACATCTTTAAAGTATAGAAAGAGAAAAGCAGATTTAGAATTCTGATTCTGGCAAAAATTAAAGAGATAAATGGAATAATAATGAAAATAAGAGTATATCTTTGTAGTCTTGGGTTAGGCAAAGTTTTTTTTACACACAAGATACCAAGAGCATGCACACAGAAAATTTGATAAAATTTGACTTCATTAAAATTAAACCATGAAGTGATAAGACAACAGAAAGGAAAAAAAAAACATATTAATAAATCATTATATACCAGATAAGGGACTTCTTTGCATCTAAAATATATAAATAACTCACTGAAAAAAGACAACCCAATTAAAAAAAATAGGCAAAGGATTTAAACACACATTCCTTCAAAAATATACAAATCTTCAACAGCACATGAAAAGATTCCAACATCATTAATCATTAGGGAAATACAAATCAAAACCACAGTGAAATATCACTTCACAACCACTAGAATGTCTATAATGAAGAAAACCAGATTATATCTAAGTGTTGATGAGGATATGAAGAAATCAGAACCCTCATGTGTTGCTCAAGGGAATGTGAAATGAGGTAGTTGCTTTGGCAAACAGTCTGCCAGTCCCACAAAATGTTTACATAGTTACCTATGACCCTGCATCCACTCCTTGGCATATACCCAAGAGAACTGAAATTATATGTCCATAAAATCCATACACTAATGCAAATAGCAGCACTATTTGTAGCAGTCAACAAATGAAAACAATACAAATATACATAATTTGAAGAATGGATAAACAAATATGATATGACCACACTGTGGAATATTATTCAGCAATAGAAAAACAAAGCACCCGTACATGCCACAGAACAGCCTTGGAAATACTGTGTTAAGTGAAAGAAGTCACAAAATATCATATATAGCCTTGTACAATTCCATTTATGTGAAATGTCTAGAATAGGTAATACGTTAGAGATAGAAATTAGATGAGTGGTTATCAAGGGATGGGGAAAAGAAGATAGGGAGCAGCTGCTAATGGGCAGTATTTCTTTTGGGGATGATGAAAATGGATCGTAGCAATGATTGCACAACCATAAGAACACGCTAAAACCCACTGAATCACATGTTTATTTAAATGCGACTTATATGGTATGTGAATATCTCAATAAAGTTAAAAAAAATGGAAACAACCCCAATATCCATCAATAGAAAAATGGAAAAATGAACAGTGGGATAATTCTAAAATGCAACACTTTTTTTTTTGAGAGAGAGAGAGAGAATTTTTAATATTTATTTTTTAGTTCTCAGCGGACACAACATCGTTGTTGGTATGTGGTGCTGAGGATCAAACCCGGGCCGCACGCATGCCAGGCGAGCGCACTACCGCTTGAGCCACATCCCCAGCCCCATGCAACACTTTTTTAAAAGGACAAACTACTGATACAACAGGCATGAATGTCAAAAATAATCATGCTGAGCGCAAGTAGCAGATAGACAAAAAGAGCACATAATCTCCAGTTCTATTCTAAGTAAGTGTTTGCTTAGAAATGGAGGGGTAATGGAAGGGATGGCTAAAAGGGATTACTAAGAAATTTTTGGAAGTAATAGACATGTTCATTATCTTGATTGTGGTAATATTTTCACAAATGTGTATTTAAGTCAAAAACCTACCATATTGCACGCAATATATTCAGCTTATTGTATGTCAATTATTTTATCAATAAATATGATAAAAAGTTATCACAAATAAAAGCCTGATCATCAATGTTATAGTGATGGAAATATGTAGCAAAGTTTAAGAATATGAGGCTGGGCTGGGGCTCAATGGTAAAGCACTTGCTTAGCACATGTGAGGCATTAGGTTCAATCCTCAGCACCACATAAATAAATAAAATAAAGGTATTGTGTCCATCTACAACTAAATACACACACACACACACACATATATATATAATCAAAGGAAGGCTCATGACAGTAGAATGAATGGGACAGAACTTTCCTATGTCCATATATGAATACATGACCGGTGTAACTCCACATTATGTACAACCACAATAATGGAAAGTTATACTCCACGTATGTATGATATATCAAAATATATTCTATTGTCATGTGTAACTAAAAAGAACAAATAAAAACTCAAAAAAAGAAGGAAAACTATTTACAAGAAAATAGAAGTTTAGCATTACTAAAGTTCGAAACACTGAATTTCTCTAATGCTTAGATCTGAGAATAAGACCACATATTTGTGTAGATACAGAAAAAAGTGACATGTAAAAGTATTTCATTGAGTATTCCCATGAACTGAGTATTCATAAATAAAAATTTTTTTGAGATGAACTTCAGTAAAAATAGGGGTGCTAAGGATTGAATTCAGGGGCACTCGACTACTGAGCCATGTCCCAAGCCCTATTTTTAATTTTTTTTAGAGACAGGGTCTCACTGAGTTGCTTAGCGCCTCATTTTTGCTGAGGCTGGCTTTGAACTCATGATCCTCTGGCCTCAGCCTCCTGAGCCACTGGGATTATAGGCGGGTGCCACTGCGCCCAGCTGGTAGGATTTATTTACTTTTTTAAAAAATATATTTTTTAGTTTTTGATGGACCTTTATTTTTTAATTTATTTGTATATGGTGCTGAGAATCGAACCCAGTGCGTCACACGTGTCAGGCAAGAGCGCTACCTCTGAGCCACAACCTCAGCTCCAACTTTTTTAATATTTATTTTTTAGTTGTAGTTGGACACAATACCTTTATTTTATTTATTTTTAGATGATGCTGAGAATTGAACCCAGGGCCTCGCACATGCTAGGCACTTGCTCCACCAATGAGCCACACCACAGCCCAGGATTTATTTTTAATAACTATGCAAATATGTTGGTCTCCTTTTAAAGCAAGTGCTTAAATGGTCACATTAGTCCTCAGATGGTCATCACATTTTAGGATCTGATTCTGAGCAGTAAACCTATATTCAAAGGGGCCTAGATACACTAATTCATGCTAACTTACTCACACAGCCTTAAACTAATCAGAAAGCCAATTAATTTGTAAAAACCCCAGTAAAAACTTTATTTCCACAATTCTCTCCCTAAGTTATTTTTACTTTCTAATTATAATCAAAGAATCACTTGATAGGATTACTAGACAGTTTTAATTTATGATAATCATCAACTTTGATGCATCCATCTTAACCATAGGGAGACATGTTCAAAGGAGACTAAATTTGTGTATTGTCTGCTTAAGACACTGCTGAATCCTGTCCCAAAGACTAATTTTAGTTCTTTGGTTGTCTCTTTTTTTGATGGGGTAGTGGGGTGTACATGGGGGGCTAATCCAGGGGCATTCTGCCACTGAGCTACAACTCCAGCCCTTTTTTTTTTTTTTTTTGAGACAGGCCCTCACTAAGCTGAGGCTGGCCTTGAACTTGTGATCCTCCTGCCTCAGTCACTAGAACTACAGGCATGTGCCAAAACATCCCACATTCCTTTTTTTTTTTTAAGAGGGGAGGGGCAAGGTGCTTCTCCACAATTAACACATTCTTTCAGAAATATTTAAATATCTAAATAGACTAATACTATGGGTGAATTAATAGTAGAATCAATTATATCACACCTCTTTCATATACATTGTGTATTTCCAAATTTACTTAGCTATGCTGGTTTTGTTTTGATGCTAGGGATTGAACCCAAGGGCCCTTTGCTTGCTAAGTAAATGCTCTACCACTAAGCTACACTCCCAGTCCTTCTGGCTACACCTTTAAGAACATCATCTCTTGGAGCAATTACTTCACTAGATAATTAACCTTAACTTTGATACACAGAACCTTACAACTTTGTCGTTAAGCATATACTGGGAATCAGTTACAATGAAACCATTATCCTGAAGTATAACTTTTATACCTTTACATAAAATGAGAACACATTGGAAAGGTAGGTAAGGGGATTAGATAAGAGTGAGAACAGGTAAGACATTTCTTTCAAAAAAAGGAACTAGACTCCAGTCTCACTATATCAACAAATTGGTATGTGCCACTTCTTGGCCCGAAAGCCATCAATTGCTGCATATTTTCTGGGTGTTAAGGTTCTTTACAATCTAGCTTCAACCCATATTTTTAGCTTCATATTTAGAAACTACTTCCCTTGCATTTATTCTTTAGCCCCACAGACATAATGCCCATATCATTCTCGGTCACATCTACTGATCAGTACACACCAAATTCTTCCTCCTCTACAGTAATGCATCCCAACCCTATACACCACTCAAATGCATCTCTGATAGCTTCCTTCTGATCAGGAAGGATTCCTTAGGACAGGTCCCTAGTCTTTAAAAAAAAGCTTTTTCTTGTATCCAAACCTGTATGACGTTTAATAATTAATGAACAAAACCTGAGATGTTGAAGAAAGTAAAAATAACGGCCTGCTCATACCCTGCGGCGAGTACAGGGCACCTACGTCTTTTTCTCCCTGGCAAATTTCTCCCTAGTATCCCTGGAGAAGCTTCCACCCAAGTTCACTGCGAAAATACTTCCGCTCACCATTGGCTTTTCTGATTTTTCCCTTCAGTGGAGAGGAAAACGCCCACGTTAAGATAAAACTCAAGACTTCTTCCCCCAAGACTAAGCTGAGACTGGCCTCGAACTTGTGATCCTCCTGCCTCAGTCACTAGAGCTCCTCTGGGTACGTTCTCTCGGGTGTGGGGCCGGAAAACTTGCTTACCTGTGCAACCTCACTTCACAGCGCAGCAGCGCAGGTATCTAGTAGGAACTGGGAATCCGCGCCTGCCTGAGCCCGGGCTGTTGGCGTGACTCCGCCTCCTGCCCTGCAAGGATTGTGATTGGTTCGCATCAATTCCCTAGAGACGAGTACACCCGTCTATTGGCCAGCGCTCTGGGCCCGCTTCCGCTCATGCCTCATTCAAATTGGAGCGCGCGTTCTGGTGCCACCCTTCAAATCCCTACGCCCAGCCCACCTCTGCTGAGGTTCCTGGAGGCGCTGTTCCGGCTGCGCTACCTGGCACAAGGTTGGCTTTGTCCAGGCGGAAAGCTGGAAAGAGAACAAGGAAAGGAACCGGAAACATTTAATCTGAAGAAGGGAATAGGAGATCGCTGTCTTTGTTTCTTTTAAATATTTTTCATACGATAGACTTTACTTCATAACCTACGTGTAAGATGAATGGATGATAATTAAAGTTGAAATTTAGTTCAGTAAAGCATTTTGGCTATCAGAACTCTAAAAAGTGAAGAGAGTGAATTCCAGAGCATCACTGCAAGTGTTCAAGTGGAAGTTGGGTAATTATTTGTTAAAATGGCGCGAAAGGGATTCTTGTATTGGGTGGAAGTTTGGGATAGATGAATTTTTATTTATTTATTTATTTATT